TGGGGTCACAAAGAGTCAGACACGACTGAGCGACTTTCACTTTCACAATAAGGGCAAGAAGACAGAAGCACTGAGGCCTTTCAAATTACATTCCCATTCAAATGATCATCCTGTAAACTGTTCTCTACATTTTGCTGTTCAGTTGCTCAGTCACATTCAACTCTTTGCGACCCCGTGGGCGGCAGCACACCAGGCTTCCCTGTCCTTCACTGTCTCCCAGTTTGCTCAAACTCATAGCCATTGAGTCAATATGCCATCGAACCATCTCATCCCCTGTCACCCCTTTCTCCTTCTACCCTCAATCTTTCCAGCATCAAGGTCTTTTCCAAAGCATCAGCTCTCTGCATCAGCTGGCCTGGCCAGAGTACTGAAGCTTCAGCTTCAGCATAAGTCCTTCCAGTGAATATATTCAGGGTTGATTTCCTTTAGGATGGGCTGGTTGGATCTACTTGCTGTCCAAGGGACTCTCAAGAGTCTCCTCCAGCACCACAGTTCAAAAGCATCAATTCTTCAGTGCTCAGCCTTCTTTATGGTCCAACTCTCACATATGTACATCACTAATGGAAGAACCATAGCTTGACTATACCGACCTTTGTCAGCAAAGTGATGACTCTGCTTTTTAATATGCTGTCTAGGTTTGCCATAGTTTTTCTTCCAAGCAGTAAGCATCTTTTAATTACATGGCTGCAGTCACCCTCCGCAGTGATTTTAGAGCCCAAGAAAATAAAACGTGTCACTGTTTCTTTCCATTGTTTCCTCATCTATTTGCCATGAAGGGATGGGACCAGATGCAATGATCTTCGTTTTTTGAGTGCTGAGTTTTAAGTCCGCTTTTCACTCTTCTCTTTCACTTTCATCAAGAGGCTCTTTACTTTCTCTTCACTTTCTGCCTTAAGGGTGGTGTCATCTGCATATCTGAGGTTACTGGTATTTCTCCTGGTGATCTTGATTCCAGCTTGCATTTCATCCAGCGCCACACTTTGCATACAATGAGCAGGGTGACAATATACAGCCTTCATGTACTCCCTTCTGAATTTTGAACCAGTTCATTGTTCCATGACCAGTTCTAACTGTTGTTTCTTGACCTGCATACAGATTTCACAGGAGGCAGGTAAGGTAGTCTGGTATTCCCCTCTTCTAAGAAACTTTTCCACAGTTTGTTGTGATGCACACAGTCAAAGGCTTTGGCATAGCCAATGAAACAGATGTTTTTCTGGAATTCTCTAGCTTTTTCTATGAGCCAGTGGATGTTGGCAATTTGATCTCTGGTTCCCTTGCCTTTTCTAAAACCAGCTGGTACATCTGGAAGCTTTTTGTTCACATACTGTTGAAACCTAGCTTGAAGGATTTTGAGCATTACCTTGCTAGCATGTGAGATAAGTGCAACTGTGTGGTAGTTTGAACATTCTTTGGCATTGCCCTTCTTTGGGATTGGAATGAAAACTGACCTTTTCCAGTTCTATGGCTACTGATGAGTTTTCCAAATCTGCTGGCATATTGAGTGCAGCACTTTCACAGCATCATCTTTTAGGTCTGGAAATGGCTCAGCTGAAATTCCATCACCTCCACTAGCTTTGTTCGTAGACAAGCTTCCTAAGGCCCACTAGACTTCACACTCCAAGATGTTTGGCTCTACGCAAGTGATCACACCATGTTGGTTATCCAGGTCATTAAGATCTGTTTTGTACAGTTCTTCTGTGTATTCTTGCCGCTTCTTCTCAGTATTTTCTGCTTCTGTCAGGTCCACACCGCTCCTGTCCTTTAGTGTACCCGTCTCTGCATGAAATGTTACCTTGGTATCTCTAATTTTCTTGAAGAGTTCTCTAGTCTTTCCCATTCTATTGTTTTCCTCTCTTTGCATTGTTCACTGCAGAATATTCACTGAAGAGACGCAAAAGGCAATAGAGGCAAGGAAAGATACACCTATCTGAATGCAGAGTTTCAAAGAACAGCAAGGAGAGATAAGAAAGCCTTCTTAAATTCTTTACTTTATGAATATTAACCTGCCTTTGAATTTTTTTTAACTGTTTCACCTATTTGGCATACAGTGCTTCTTCCACATCTGAGTGACCTATTTTTCTAAAAGTTTGCTATTTCAACTGTTTTTAGGCAATCAAAAATCTTGTACTAGGTTACCTATCCAAACAACTATTTCCCTTTATTCCTTCCGGAAAATGCTGATTTCCTTAAGATAGAGTTCAATAAATCCCTGATGATAAGCTTCTATTCTCATGCCATAGGATGAACCTGGCAATTAACAATGACTTATCTAAGCAAAAAGCTAATTCCATTCTACCTCTGCTGACGGACCGGTTTACAGTGGGCTTGTAACCAAGGAATCTCGGGGAGTTTTGTAGGGATTCTGAAAAAGATCTTTTGCTTGATTAAAGAAGTAAAAAAGGAAATTTACAGAGAGTTTCCTTTCCAGTTTCTCTGGTTGTTTGTCTTGAGTGCAGGATGCAGCAGTTATCTCTTTACCAGGAAGAGAAAGCCAAGAGTCTCACAGAGAAGCTCACCCAGGGCCATGATATTACTGTCTTAATCAATGCCCAAACACCCTGTTCTGGATTAAATTCCTGTATAAACAACAAACCTGTATTTACTCAGATAGTCAACCATTTGTGGGCCAAAGTCTCCAAAAAGAAAACTCCCATATTTTCCAGTGAAATCATCTCAGGTACCTTCTACAATAAAAGACTTCCTTTCAGACCAAATTATATGAATGCATAATATTTTATATCAGTTTTTAAAAATCTATTAGATACGTTACTAAGAAAGATGCCATTTAGTGGTCCACAGTATTCAGTACTTTAGGATATGACTCAAGAAGCTAACCTAAATTAATAACAATGTTTATTTAACAGTACAGAGACAAATCTGAACCCTTATACCCACTCTAAGTACAAAAACAACTTTAAAAGATGTAAGTTTCAAAAAGATGTCATTCTCAAATACTCATTTGAATAAATTATTTTAGCAAACACTACTGTTGCACTGACATAAAGCTTAAAAATATTTTATTACCTATCTAGAATGAGTAGGTTTTATATTATAGAACAGTGTAAGTTTTATTACAAACATACACACTCGACTCTTAAAATCCTATGCAATTTCTTACCATGGAGGATAAAAATAAGGGGAAAAAACTGCCATCTTAAGTTAGAAGAAAGGCCAAAGACCTAACAAATATGATGATGACAATACTGTCAACTAGCAAGAATCACAGGAGAAAAGCAACCATAAAAAATATTGTCAAAACCCCATGAATCATTAAAGACAAAGTCCCCCTCAAGAAGGGTCCACTGATTTGAAACACGAACCAAGCTTTTAGTTCTAAGCATGGTTCTACGTTTCAGACAAGAAATCAAGGTAGCAGATGTTAAGAAACAATATTTTAAAAGTAAGCAAAGAAAGGAATCTATAAGGAGAAAAGCAGAGACTAAAAGTCATAAAAGTTAAGAGGTCACACACTAGTTACAGATACCGAACAGTTTCTAAGGACATCACAGTGGAATAAACTGATTCTCAAAAACAATCTTTTGAGCATAAAACTTTACAAATTTAAGATTATAACAGAAAAGCAGTTGGCTATAACAAGACTTTATAGAGATATTAACCATGGTTAGTAGGATTATAAACCAGACTTCCTCAACAAGATGAGATTTGTTAGTTCTGTTTAAAACAAACAAAAAACAGTATGTTAAATAGAACAGAATGCCTTTTTCTCCTTCTCCTAAGTCTATATCTCTACAATTATTTTGTCTTGAGTATACTCTCCAGGACACCCCAATTATATAAAGTAACCAACACTTCATTTAAAATAAATCCTGAATGAGGTAAATGTTTCCAATAAATATAAACTTAAACACAATGTTTAAGGGAAAAATGTAATGACAGCATTTTGGCTACATTTTAGAATGTGAGGATGAATCATTTCAGCTAAAGATTCAAATTTACTCAGTTAACTCAACCTTTAAAAATAAGATACTTCTTATATCTACTTAACATCAAGTGGTCACCATAGCACTGTCCAAAAGAACAGGGGAAAGATGAGAGCTGGAGATGAGCTGGCAGAACACGGCTTTCTTAGAACTGGCCAATCAATTCCAGGTCATCTGTTTTGCTGTTGCTATAGGGACCTTATGAATCACGACTTCTCCCTACTCTCCATCATTTAGAGAACCGAATCACATATGAAAAAGATACTGAAAACATTAACTTCCAGTAAAAATATATACAGTAAAAAATTTGACTATATTACAGTTAATTATATATTTTCACCCACCTCAGCTTAGTAAATTAAAAAGTTTCTCCACTGGAGAAACATACACAGAATTATCTACATACCCACTCTTTCCAAAACTGTCCCTCACATCAGTCCTGAATGTTAAATCCACTGTATCTTTAAAAGTCTGAAGAACTTTCAAACAATGTTTTTATTTACTGTGACACCCAAACAGATGCATCTTTGTGCATAATGTTTACCATGATTACTTACAGGAAGCAAACTTGACCTCAGAACCAAGTTAGATATATTATAAATTTAAGACATGTCTCTTATTTTAAGTTCACAAAAAAGAATCCTCATCTGAATATTTAACAGTGAAGTGTCATGATGTCTATAACTTATTTTCAAATGGGATTCAGAAAAAGAAAGGAATAAATAAATGTGTAGTATAGATATAGCTTGTGTAAATATTGGAGAGAAAGCAGATGTGGCAAAAGCTATCAACGCTGAGGTTAGATGGGCATTCAAAGGAGCTGTTCAACCTCTCTGAGAAACATTTCAGAGTGAAAGGCTGGGGGAGCACCCCTCCCCTGGCTCCCAGCCGTGCTGGGCGCAGTAATCACCCTGGACACACACGTCCAGCCCTTTCCTTCTTGCCTCAAGACCTTTCTACCTTTGCTCTAAAAAACCTACAGAATTGTGTTACGTCTTTCAACAAAAATCAACTCTAGCGAAGTACGCTTCAAGGCTGGTATCAGTGAAACTGTTTTACCTGAAAGTTAACATCTTCTTTCTTAAATATTAGTGCTCGAACTTCATCAGGATCTCCATTAAATATAGCTTGCACCAGTGAGGGCTAAAATACAAGAGAGTAATAAAAACATTAATCACACCACATGCATGATTCTAAAGCTATTTCCACATAACTTTTAAATTTAAAATTTTTCTTCCCCATCACAACAATAATCACTTGGCTTTTGACATGAACCAAATTTCATGAAGTCAAATCATATGAAAGTACAAGATTCCTCCTTGGAAAAAAGAATAGGCCTAATTAAAAAAAAAAATCAATTCCTTATGACCAAAATTAGGTAGTATAATAAGCATAATTAGATTTTACATGAGTGGAAACCTTTTGTTTATACAGATGGTAAAAAGAAAGTATCTTCCAAATAAATACAAGTGAGACATCTCAACACATCCTTGCAGGACACAACGTCAAACAAGCAGCGTGACCAGGAGCCCAGAGGAAGGCCTCTGAACAGCTCCCTCTCGGGCGCCCGGATAATGCGCATGAGTTAGCATTGCATGTGTAAAGATAAAAATCCAAAGGAAACCTGACAGTTGATGGAAATCACTGCTTTTCAAAGACCAAAAATTACTGTAAATCTGAGTAACATGAAGAGGCAGACACATGCATGTCTAAATATAACAAGTTCTTAACGATATAGCCTCTCTGATAAGGTATCACATTATACTCTCAAACAAAAAGTTAAATGACAAAGTTTTAAACATAAAATTAAAGATGAAATCTGATTCTTTTTCTGTAACAGCCCTGCATGTAAATATATAAAATTCACTACAGAGAAGGCTGTGCCTCCGTGTTGCTGGCAACAGTCAACTTTGCTAAAACATACAGTTCCTCATACTTGCTACATCAGTTTCTAAAACCACAAAGTAAAAACTGAAATATGGGTGCTGTAGCTTACTATCCTCAAATTATTTTTTAAACTCATTTTAAGAGATTAAGAGATAAAGTCTGAAATGTTATCTAAACATCTGAAAATAAAGTCTGAAATGTTATCTAAACATCTGAAAAAGTGAAAATAGGAAATGTGTGTATTTATACACAAGTAATATTGCATCATACTCACACACTTATATTGCTTTCACTTGGGTTTTTAATGAAACTAGTGGAAATTAACTTGCATTTATTTTTAAAAAAATAAAATTTACCCTGCTAGTTCAGTAAAAGATAGTAAACATATAAACTCTCGTATCTTACCAATACATTTCCCGAAGGTGGAGAATGTAGGGATTTATTTTCCTGTGGCAATTTAGAAATGAATGCAGGAGACTCATCTTCTACCTCCTCCAAAACAACAATACACACTCGACTCATTCGTTCTTTTAAAAAACTGAATTCTAAGCTATGTGATAAAAGTCACAGTTGGAAGAGCACAAGTAGTTTTTCCTCCTCTTCTGTACAGCACTCAGAATCATTCTTTGAAAAGCACAGCTGGTTTTTTTTTTAAGTTAATAAGTACTATCAGAAAAACTAAAGCTTAAAATTATAACGACATAACTTCCTAAGAAAAAAAAATAAAATCCCAAATTCTATTATTTTCTGTCTGGTTACTGTAAAACTTAAAAGAAATTTCACATCAACATGTCAAGAACTAAAACTGAGTCTGGAACAAGTTAATTTAAAAATATTTTTCTGCTACCAAAATAGTCATAATTCTACTCTGTTTTACAGAAATTCACTTGCATAAAAAGATCACTGTTTGGGTGATAGCACCACACACAACAGAATAAGACGAGAAACAAGTGCTGAGACAGATGATCACAGCTATACCCACTCCTGCCTGCAAGGTCATAGTTACCAGCAGCTGGCTTGCTTATCACTGAAAATAAAATATGAAATCTCACTATTCGGTTTCCACTTCTAATTTGTCTTCACTTCTTCAGCTTCGCTGGTTTAATACAGATACTATCCAGAAAAAAAAAAAATGCAGCTAGAGCTCTCAAAATGTTGCTCAGAGGTTGACAATTCTTTCTGTGTTTGAGAAAGAAAAAAAAAAAAACACTCTGCATTAATAGCAAAGCTGCAGTACATTTACATGCAATGAGTCAGACCACAAGAGACAATAGGACTCTTGGTACTAGAATACAGTTTGATTAATCCAGATATTCCATATAAGAAAAGAAACAGCTTAATTCCCATCGACAGCACAGGAAAGGCAAAATGTTCATTCTTCCTCCATCAGGCAGTGGTCTGTGGCTGCTCCAGCAAAAGGGCACAGGCACCAAGCAGAAATGGTGTTAGCGGAGAATCCTAATGGAGCAGGCAGGCTGTGAAGGAATTAGAAGGCATTTGAGCTCAAATTACGACTTCAGGCTTTTCATTTTTAAAAAAGAGAGGGAGAGAACTCCAGTAGTTTATCATTCCAGTGTTTTCTTTGATCTCCACATGAATGCAGCTTCCATCAAAGAGTCTTCATTCAGAGGAAAAAACAGCAGACTGTGCATCTTCTCTGAGCCAACTACTTTATTCAATCATCTGCCTCTGTGCCAATATAGTTTCCTTCCACTGTGAAAACCGCTACAGTTTTCCTTTCCAGTCGATTTCAGATGCTTTCCTGTTCCTCATATGATCTTGCAAACCGCCAGTGACACCTCCAAATGAGTAGTAGGTCCTTAAAAAACAGACAGCCTCAGGATCGGCCCCACAGAAGCATTCCAACTGAGCAACAGTCTGAAGAGCGAGGACTGCAGAACCGCAGGATGAAATGCCTAGTAATGCTCACATGTTACACTTACCAGAGAGCTGAGCTACTGCTCCGGATGTAACTTCCTCTAGCAGGAGAAAAAAATAGTGCATTTGGACAGCCTTCACAATTAGAAGGTTCATGCCAGTTCTGTGACTAATCCAGATCAAACCAAAAAATTCTATAACTGAAAAATGAGTGCGCTTTTAACATTTTCCACTAAAAGCCACAAGGAAATCTGGTGTACTGCCTCTGCTGACTAACACTGGTTTTAGCAAGTAAACAATTCCAAACAGTTTAACTGCTTTCGTATGTTACAATATAGCAAATGTTTAACCCTATAGTGACAGCTGCAGTGAGAATGTCTGCAGTGAACCCATAAAAGAGAACGAGAGATGGAGGAGCATTTTATAAGACCATAAATACCATACACCCAAGGTTTTCTTCCTATTTTCTCAAGACCATTTTTAATCTACTAGATGTATGTTACTTTCAAGAATGTAAAGTTTAAACAAAAGAAATTTAAGATTCACTAACAATTTCTGAGTTGTTAAATTTAGTCAACCAAATCATATTTTGAAAGAGAAAAATGAAAATTCCATATTGGAGAAATTATAATTGTAAAATTTTACTAATCACTTGAATTTCACAAAAGAAACAATACTGTCTTCCCATCTGGATGTGGAACAAAGCCTTAAAATCTGTTAAATAGCTACATAAATCTATTGTTTCAAGTCCTTGGTAGTGAATTATCTACATGTCAAAAAGGTAAAGGGTTAACACAAAGTAAAGAACCTTCTGCCTCCCTATAAAAGTAATTATCCTGAAGCCAAGAATAAGTCAAAAACAACCAATTTATAATTGGTTTCCTGTTTCCTCCCCGTTTCCTGGTTTACTCAAGGATGGGGTTATTTTCCCACAGAAAAATGACAAAGAAAATACTATGATTCCTCCTCAATCTTTGTTCTTTCATCTGTCAACCAGCATTTTTATTAATAAACATAATAGCTATTCTTAAACATTCGTGATGTGCTAAATGTTACATTCTCATTTAATATTCACAATGGCCTTGCTACATTCCCATATGTAGAGGAAAAAAACAGACTTAGAAATTATTATATCCATAGTTGGCAAATTAGTAAAGTTGTACCTAATTGCAAACACACGCTCTTTCTAATCTACTCTGCTTCCACTGACTGTACACATACACTCTCATCTAAGAGTTCTGCAATCTATAATACCAGACTACGAATGTGATATTAGAAGACAAATAATCTACATGATTGTGAAAAGTTTAGGTAACAAAGGAGCATACTATTTCCTGCAATAATAGTCCCAAACAAGTTATTTTTAAATAGGTACTTCAGGGCTAGTGTTACCTCACACACTTAAATCAGCTGACTTATCACAACATTAAAAAAAAAAAAAAGAAAGAAATCCAGCATAATATAAACAAGAAAGCGAGAATTTAACAACAAACTCCATTATCAACTGATGAAAAAACCTATAACCCTAACATAACTGTATTAAAATACTAAAATGTGCTAAAATTTCACTTAATTATTTTAAAAAATATAAATGATTTTAAGTCAAATTAAAGACATGCAAGTATTCTGACATGCATGAAACCACTCTAGTAACAACATATTGTCACTGTCAGGGGGCCTTGCCCCCCAAACAAAATTTCTTTTTATATGGACAATTTTAGCTTGGTAAAGTCTCCAGTATGTAAGTTTACCTATTTAGACCTAGGCAGGTACACCCTGTTTTCTTGCTCTAGGTCAAATTCCATACTTTGGTTTTTCCCAAACAGAAAGCAAGCTCCTTGAAGGCAGGCGCTATGTTACATACATATTGTTTCTTCCAGTATCTTCCATCTGTAAATAATTTCACTGAAATAAATTCTATTATGTCATAAGACTCTGGAATAGAGTGGCAAAAACAGAAAAGACGATGGGGGTGGGATTCAGGCCTTTTAGCCAGTAAGCATGGTGGTATTAAAGCACACAATGAACTGTGTGCCGCTAGTGGGAGAGCAACTTAAACGTGTGAGTTGACAGTATATAAAACAATGATAGTGAAGGACAGCTAAAACTATGGGCTCAGCGGTCAGCCTACCTGGAGCTCAGATTCCAAAGACAAAGCTGTGTCTTTGAGCAAGCTGCTTTAGTCCTTGAGTCTAAGACTTAGACTTCTAAGCAGAATAATCCCCAGAGATTTTTACCTTGGAGACACACTAACAGAACGGTGATTGAGAAGATAGGCTCTGTAACCAAACTAATCTAATCTGGCTTCCTACTAAGAAACATAACTGTGTGACCTTGAGCAAGTTACTTAACATCTCCGTGAATCATTTCAGTATCTATTAAAGAGCTGAACAGAATCTACTTCATGGTGTTATTAAGAGCAAAGTTTAAAATGAAGATAATAGTATTATTACAGATACTTAGGATAGGTAAAAGATATTCCTTGTGAAACCCTGGATACCGACAGCCTTCCCTTACTAGGGAGGCGATTCCGTTCGGGGTCGGAGAGTCCATCCTGTTACTAAGTTTCCACCCTTTTCAGGGCTCTAGAGACTGCGGGAAACTTGTCTTTACACTCCAGTAACCAGACTAGTGCTTACCAAGTGTTATTGAGGGAGAGAGCAATAAACTTAGGCAAGAGGTTTTTGTATTCCTCCACATTCATTGTATTTCACTGCCTAGGGAAAGAGCAAGAATAAAAAGTATTGGCCCATAATACATTACGTTATTAAAAAAATACTGAAACATTATGTTAACAGTGCCATACAGCGCTGTCTTACATCTCCTATGAATATGACAGGCCCCCTCATTTCAAGGAATTCACATCTTAAAGGAAAAGGACACAGGTAAGTGAGTACTGAAAAAACTGCCGTGGTTTAGTCTAAACAGGACTAAGTCCTGTCCTGACATTTGGCAACCCCATGGAGTGTACCCCAACTAGGCTCCTCTGTCTGTACTGAAAAAGAATACTGGAGTGAGTTGCCATTTCCTTTTCCAAGACATCTTCCTGACTCAGGGATCGAACCCAAGTCTCCTGTATTGGCATGAGGATTCTTTATCACTGAGCCACCAAGGGAAGCCACTGAAGAAATTAGGAATGGAGAAAAAAATTATGATGAAAAATTGACAATAACTATGCAAATTTAACTCAACACTGGGTTTTCTGCTATTTTCAGTTGAACAATGCAAGAAAATGTATTTTTTTTTGAGGCATTTAATTTTTAGGCCATATCAGATTAACTTTTTAATAGGCCAACAATTTCAATGACAACTTCATAATCCTTCCATCCTTTAGATTAAAATGTATCCTCTCAAAAGCTTACTCCTACCTTTCACACAGAGTCAATTCATGGAAAAGCTGGCTCAAAATTCTCATTTTACTGATAAAAAGTTTAACATCCTGGAAGATTATTTTTAGGTTCGCCATTTTGTTACAACAGAATTTCTTTTCTTGACACAAATGATTTTTCCTTTCTAAACAGCCAACCCAAAGCTCATCTTATCTCTTACAAATTCATAAACTCCAGATTGATTATTACAGAGTAAAATATTTTATTGAGGGTATGCTAAATGATTACTTTGCACCAAACTAGTCTGAGTATTAA